AGTTTTAAAACAGCAAGTTCACTTACTCTTTATTGCCTGATACAGTAAAATGTTTCTTTGCCTGGCGTTTGCCGTTTGACGTATAACGCGAAGATTAAACTCTCTAATTACATGTTTGAAAAAATTATTAAAAAACTCATTAATAATTCATGAAGAAAACACAAAGAAAAATCATAAGCGTGTCGTATCTGTATATGTGATACAGATTCATGTTGATTTACATAAACTTTAACTTTGATTTTTTCGGCTTAGACAACGTTTATTTTTAAAATTACTTCGCCAATGAACTCATAAGATGAGTCGTTTTTTAAGTCATTTACAACATTCGCGTCCGTGTTGTATCGGATATACAATTTTCGCCTTCGGCTCGAGTTTGTATATATCCGATACAACACGGCCGCTCATGTTGTAAATAGTACATATATATACATTTATATATATATATATATATATATATACATTTATATATATATATATATATATATATATATATATATATATATATATATATATATATATATATATATATATATATATATATATATATGAATGGGTGTGAGGTACCATGACTGGATACAACCTCGTTCCCAGGGCTTTTCCCTTTTTGTCATTGGGAAGGCGGGAAAAGGCCCTGGCACCGGCCGGTCACATGACTTTCAACACCCAGATATAGTGGGTGTAATAAATTATAATAATAATAAATTAGAAAATCCAAGATGGCCGCCAACCTAAGAGTGTCCACAAAATTTGAGTGCTTAGAGCGGCTTAAAAATGCGTTTAGTCTTTGAAATTTTTCCTTCTTTTTGCTACCGACGTACTCGAAATCAGATTCTTCAGCTTTTATTACATGGGAACTATGTAGTTGCTGTTCTTCCAACTGGGTTTGGTAAATATCGTTCGTTCGCTAAACAAAATTAACAGCCAAAATATAATAGTATTACTATTACGACAGATGTTCTCCAGCTGGACAGGCTTGCCTAAGAGGACACGGAAAATATTTTGAACTGGGGATGTGAAACTTGGTTTTACCCTTCCAAAGACTCTGCTGTGCGACGATTGGAGCGAGTTTATGAGGAATATTTTATACAGTGATTCAAAGAAATGTTTTTGCATATACTGTATATGTTATTGATCTATTGTTGAATGCCACTTATATTATAAAGTGCCAGTGGTTGGAATACTTATTCATTGATATTTTAAACACAGATGAAGTGTGATATGCTCTTTCCTTGTTTACGTTTTCCTTGCAGCCAAATGTTGTTGAAGCTGGCAAGCTGCAAAACTGACATATGAGTGATATGACCCAAATATTGGATATGCATCTTAGTTTGCTTCCAGTAAAATGTAAACAAGACCTTAAGAATTCTATACGAGATAAGAAATATTACGTTTAAAATCATGACTGGCAAATTAGCATGTGCGAATTGATGCTTCCTAATAATAGTATGTACTCCAGTAAAGCTTGCTTGCTTCAATTCTTGCTGTTACCATCTGCACATTATCAGGGTGGAGAGTTGATTTGAATTTTTTGTCCCAGGGGATAAAGGTAGGGAATAGATTTTCCATAACAAAAGGGGCAAGGTGCCCAACCAGTTAGAAGATGGCATGTACTTTAAGTGACCATTCATTATACCCTAGGGTGGGGTGGGAGATTCTTATGTCAAAATGTCATGGGACCCCTTTTTAATCTCTTAATTTAATAATGGAGACCCCTCCTAAATATTTAAGACTATATAACATGATGCAATTCTAATCTTCATTCATGTGAATGCCTGACTATGAAGAAAATACATTTTGCAACACAGGGATGGATCCAGCATGATCTGGTGGGGGGGTGGGTGCTCTGCCAGCTCTGGTGCCGAGTTGTGTCGGTCATGTGTGTCACCCGCCCATCAACTTGCTTCACTACTGCAAAGTCTTGCTTTACTACTGTATTTGAATTGTAATTGTTGTTCACAGCTTGCTTATCATCATGTTATTACTCAAATTACTGTATCTCATTTTGCCTGTAATAATTTTTGCTTTATCATGAAAAATAGAACCCCCTGCACCCCCTCTGGCCAGGGCTAGGGGAGTTCACAGCCCCCCCCCAGTAAATCCATCCCTGTTGCAACATACACTACAAGAGCTAGAATGATTGCTTCCTTTGGATGATTTGTCTTAGAATTATATTACCTATATTACAACAATTCTTCCTATTCTGAAACCAGTTGCTATTCTGTTTTTTACAACACTCACCCCCCCCCAAAAAAAAAGACTCAACAAATCAAGGACCCCCTCCAAGGCAATTTTGCCAGCAAAATAGATTAAATTTGATGGTAATTGTTCTGAGAATATATTAACTCATTGAGTGGCAGCATTCTGCCTAGACTTGCCACAAGTCGACCTCGAACGAAACGCAAGCAGCGAGTGTGAGCCGACGTTTCGTTCGAGGTCGACTTGTGGCAAGTCTACATTCTGCCCTTGAGTAAAATTGTCTGGCACCAGACAGAGTAATATACTAAAGTAGGGACATTGCCACTATAAAGGGTTAAACAAATTTTAAAAAATTTTGCAATGGTCTATATTCAAAAAGCTCAATTTGTAAATTTTAATTGACTTTAATTAAATTAATATAACTACTTATACTTATAGCTACCTTGCCCCAGTCACTTAAAGTGAATTCTATGGGAGGAGGGGGACATTGAAAATCCCTGGGTTTACTTGGTAAAAGCAAGAATTGAACCATGCATTACATGTATATGGAGAGCAGTTTTAAATATATTTTATCATGCAAATACCTTGATAATTGTTCTTAAACGTCTTTGGCTTAGAATGGGTACACCCTCCAAAGGTGTTTATTTACAGGGTCCAAAGGTGTAAATATACACTGTCCAAGGTGTTAATATAAACAACAAAAACAATGTATATAATTAAATTTTATTAAATAAAATGTGGAATATTTTACAAATTGCATTACCATCCCAAAGTGTACATAATTTATCAATATAATTAGGACTTAGAAGCTGTTCACATGAGTTTGACTCTGACCCAGCACCTTTGGCTAGCTCCCCTTGCCCGATCACAAGTAGAAAACCTCCAACCCCCTCTGACAAATCAGTCCAGATCTGCCCAAGAGGCAGGATTTTCTGGAATATTATTAGCAGTGAAATTGTTGCATATTTTCAAGCATGCATTGTAACCTGATTTTAAAGCCTGTTTGAACATCAGACATTGTGGCAATGGCAAGATGGTCCAGCCATATGAATACAATCTTAAAATATCATAAAAACAATGCAATTTAAGGCCAGACAGCCCAACTCCTGCGAACAGCCCTTTATTACACATTCGAAGCATCTCTTGAGGCATCAAAGTACTGTACATGCAGGCACATGGAATTACATACGAGTATGTGACATAAGCCCACCATTGCACAACTTTGTCTGCAACAATGCAAATACAACAAATGCAAATACAATCAAGCTGGAAACGGATTTTATCAGTATTTTGATATATACATTATGGCTCATGTCTAAAGACACCTGCACTTTCATATTGAAATTGTTCTAATATCATCCAAACAAAACACATCAGAAAACTGTAACATCAGCCAAATGAGCAAATCACTTTTTTAACACAATTTATGGTAAAATGAAGCAACATGTAATAGTATCTGAAACAAAACCAAATCACATATTATTCAAAAGTTGTAAACACTGTTGCATATATGATAACAAAATATCGTCGCATTTCTAGTGGTAACTAACTATAAATTAGGCCAATTTAAACTCGACTATGAAGAATATCAAAAACTAAAGGTCATGTTTCAGTTTATAAACCCAGACTTTAGTTTTATAAATATAAACATTATAAACGCTATACGAAGCCAAATATGAAGGCACATTTTGCCCTAAATTTGCCCTAAATACTCGGTCAGAGCCTCAGGGGTGTGTTCTAGTACACAATTAATCTTCTCTCACAGTTTAAAACAAACAATAATACTAACCTTCGACGAAGTGTGTATAAATCTTATCGAATTTAACCATTTTGCCACAGATTTTGCCAAAAATATTTCTTAGACGGACAAAGTATTAATAATGGCACCTAATAATTAATTAATTAATTAATTAATTAATAATTTATCCCAAAGTTTGAATAAATTAATCCAAGATTGCATTATTTGCATAATAATGTACTTGTCATTGACCAATCAGAATACATAGAAGATCGGCCGGTGCCAGGGCCTTTTCCCGCCTTCCCAATGACAAAAAGGGAAAAGTCCTGGGAACGAGGTTGGCTTTGACTAGAATCTGACTAGACTTTGACTAAACTTTGACTAGATGCTAAACCTAGTTAAGGTTATGCTGAAATCTAGTTAAGGTTATGCTGAAATCTAGTTAAGGTTATGCTGCAACTAGACTTTGACTAGAAATTAAAAAAGTGAGCATATTAAATAAAGGATGGATGAACCAACTATAACAAGGGCAGAAAAGACCCAAAAGCCAAAGGATCCAAGAAGGGTAGAATCGGGTAAAAGACTGGCCGCAATATCGAAAGAAGCAAAAGTAAGGAAAGCCGAAGAAAGACGTAACGCCGAAGATAATTCCGATCAAGGTGACTCGGTAAATACGCTGATTTACGCCGGAGTCGCAACAGCCGCGCTGGGGGGAATCTACTACATATACTGCAAGGTCAGACCTACGGACAAGCCCAATCGCACGGCAGAACCACAAGTACAGGACGAGCCCAAACCGAAGTTCGAAAAATTTAACAATTAATGTACTATAATAAAAGGAATGGAAAAGAGAAGCCAGAAACTAACGCCCGGTTTTAAAAGGGCACTGACCTCCGACGTTGTAGGAAACAGGGTATGTAACTTCGTTACATTTAACCCGAACGAATCCAACCCCGGAAACGACATCCGCATAGTAGTTCCGAAACTGGAACCGAACACTTGTATCGTTCCGGACTCATTTCGCCTGTCGTACGAGTTCAAGAACGAAAACACCAAATCCTGGTTCATGAATAACCTCGGTAAACTTCTGTGCGAGCGGCTTATGATAAGAGTGGGGGGTGAAATCGTATACGACAATAACGGCGAAAGTCTCATTGAAGTCTACAAAGATCTCTGGAAGATGGGCACGAAAAGAGCAAATATGGTAGAATACGGGATTATGAACGAGAACACAAGAAAGCTATTGTCGAAGGATGACACTGCCGATCAGACCGGAAAAACGGACGGTGACTACGACCTTGTGATGGCGAAGGTATACAAGGAGCAGAAAATGAAACTCGGAAAAATTCTCAATGACCACGGTCCCTACGCACCGTACAACATGAAGAGCGGATTCGAGTACACGATAACCCTTCCAAAAGCCGACAAGATTATGGTCGCACAAGCGAACGAGAAGGTGGAAGGATATACACTGAAAAACATACATCTGGAATACGAAACCATCGAAAACGAGGAACTAGCCAAACGAATAAACGAAGGATACGAGACCGGCAGATCCCTATCCTACAAACACACGACATTGCTGAAGACAACCGTGTGGTCAAAGGATGCTACAAGGTTCAACGAAACCATAGACGTTCCGAGGGGCTGTGGTCCTACTTTTCAGAAAAAGAACAATAACCGACAGCGAGGAATACGTCTTCCCAAGCATCGAAAAGGTAAAGGTTACGATAGAGGGGAAACCGAATGCTGTATACAGTCAGGGCTTAACAACGGAAAATTTCTACGATGAATTAAGCAAAAAAACTGTCCGGAATAGCCAACAACACCTGTAACGACGACATAAGCGTCAGGAAATTCTACAAAGACAAATTCGCATTGGTGATCGATCTGAGAGCTGTCGACGACAACAATATAGTTGGAAGTGGAAAGAAGCTTCTCGGTGATAACCCCGGAATCCATCTAGAAATTGAAACGGACACTATTACCGAAGACATCCTCTGTAACATCTTTG